AGAAGCTGGTATATGCATATAAAACTAGACTAAGCTGACTGTTAGCTGGCTAGGTTCTCTTTTGGGATACATACCAGGTTCTAATCCTTACCATTTTCTTTTCTATTTAATTTAGTTTATATGTTAGGAGTAGCAACATAACAGCTAAATGGCTACATTATGGTTTATTTACAGTTACGGCTTATGTGGTTTTTGTGTTGTGGGTTAGGAGCCTTATAGCAAAATTATATTTCAGAGAGTTGTGCAAATTAGTATTTTCTGAATCCTTGATATAAATCATAGTGTTGGAGAAATTCATTATCTTTGATTTGCATTTTTCTTTCATAGAGTTTCATGAATCTTAATAGATCCGCCGGAAATAGTCAAGGAAATAACTAATTCAGATAGTATCTTTCAATATAACACTTTTTTTCTGGTGCTTGAATTCAAATCCTTGTATGTGTTAGGTAAGCACTATACCATTCAGCTATATCTTCAGTTGGAAGGTATCTTTGTTCAAAGTTAATATCCTTAGGGTATGGTAATCATTCAAACGTAGACATCTATATTTAGCCAAGTGTAAATAAACTTTTAGGAACCATATTTAACTTTCTATCAATCCTTCATGTACTAGGTTAAAAAAATTTTGCTTTCAGAGATGAGTGAATATACACATATGTATGTTATTTTGTAAATAATTTAGGGAAGTTAGAATAAGGGAATAGTATATGCTGATGCTATTAGAAATTTTAATTTGCACTTAAATGAAGAAAATTCAATTTTTTCTTATTTTTCTGTTTTTTTTTTTTTTACTTTTTGAGACAGAGTCTCACTATGCAGTTCAGACTGGCCTTGAGTTCACTTTGGAGCTCAGGATGGTCTCAAACTCACAATGGACCTTCTGCCTCAGCCTCCCAAGTGATGGGCTTACAGGCGTGCACCACAATGCCCAGCTAATTTTTCTGATTTTCAAGGGACCAGAAATGGACAATATCTTATGAATATAGTTAACAGTTCATTAGTTGTCAGTAGTTTTCTTTTTGTACTTAGCAGCAAGAAGGAAAGAAAAGGGAAAAATATTTTTTGGTAGTGTTGGGGATCAAACCAAGGGTCTTGCACATGCTAGGCAAGTATTCCAAGAATTTTAAAATCCCAAAAATTTTAAAAATCTTTCAAAAGCACATAATTGTGTTATAAATGTTTTCTTTATTATATTAATAAACACCAATTAGAATAGTCTGTTCAGTACTTTTTTTCTACTTCTGTACTGTCAGATTCCTTCCAATTATCTTTGTGTGTAAATATAGTGTAAATATTAATCTATTAGATAATTATAGAGCACAAATGGCATACATAAATGAGGAATATTGCCATAAATCCTTTTAGTAAGGTGGAATGGTCCAGATTCTTGTAATAAAATGTTATGTAATGAAATCTATCCTGTTGAATGACTAAATTGATAATGCTGTATATTTGTTTTGTCCTTAGAAATATGTTGTTCATCTGTTCATATCCTTTACATAGGATATGTGAAGACTCATGAGATTTCAGTTAAACCATCAATTTCACCATAGTCATTAAAGTTCAGAGTATTGCTGTCTCTCTTTTTATGTGTTTCCTGATTTGTCTAATAATTGCAAAATAGCTTCCTTTGTCAATTTTCTTCTCTTGACTTACAGGGAGAAAATGAGAAATTTAAAGGTTCTTTTTGTCTGTGTTAATGGTATGTAAAACTAGATTCCAAAGATGGTGTCTACATTTTTACTTTACACTTTCTTCAAAAATGATGTAATACTTTTGGCAACAAGATAATAAAAGAAGGGTGCATTATTGTATCATCCTTTAGGTATCTCATTCATTCAGATTCTTAATATTTTATCCTTTTTCATTACAATTAAGAATAACCACTGAGTAATGATAATATTCATGGGATGATGAAAGAGCAAAGTGTTTCAAGAGATCACTAAGATATAATAGTAAATCCTAGATTTATGAAAGAGCCTAGAAGTTGGGTATGACAGTGTGTGCCTGTAGTTCCAGCATTTGGAAGGCTGAGGCAGAAAGACTGCCATGAGTTCAAGGCCAGCCTGAGCTACAAACTGACCTTGTCTTGAAAAAAAGAAAGAGAGAAAAAGAAAGAAAGGGATTGTACAGTGGTGGTGAACCTATGGCATAGTGTCATAGTGGGCTGTTTAAATCATTGAAAGCTCTGATATGTTCTCTGTAGCAGATACAGATGGCAATCACTAAGGCAGTAAGATTTATTTTCTAGAGTTAGTTTTCTGCTGTCTTTGGAAGGCCACTAAGAAGGGATAAAAAATTAAGATGCATTGATCCTTAGACTATTTAAAACTACTTTAAAAAGGAACTTAGAACTTAAAATTTGGTCCACTGGATCTTTTTGTATACAATGAATTAAGTATTCTGTGACTCTTTATTGATTTATACCTCTAACGGCTGTTATCTACTTTGTTCAATAGTCAGTGCACTTGCATTGTTTCTTTTTCTAATAAGGTAAAAATAATAGTCTTTAAAACTTTTTAAATTTTTATTGGTGCATGTTTGAGGTATATAATGGTTACATTCATTCATTGTAGTTGGCACATTAATGAGTCTTTTGTTGAACTTGTATTCTCATCCAAATATTTATTTTTTCTAAGATTGAATGTTTAAAAGATAAGTTTGATTTCATTTAACAAGCTTTAAACTTTATTTATTTAGTATTACAGTGCTGGGAATAGCACCTAGGGCCTTGTGGATGTTAGGTAAGCCCTCTGCCACTGAGATGTATCTGCTAGGATTGCCACCCCCCGCCCCATTTAACTTAAAAATTGCACTTGTGAATGACAGGGAATGCACGAAATCATGGATTTCCAGTCGTTTTATGTTATTTCAGGTAAATCTTAACGTGATAGATCACACATGTAGTAATTTACTTGAAGCTGTTTTTAAAGTGCCATTGAGAACTTGGAAAGTCATATTTTCATTTTTGAAAATTTTGTCTATTATGATTGCCAGATCTAATTTTAATTAGATATTGATTCTTATCTGGTTGTGGATACCTAAGAGACCTTCTGAAACAGTAGGTTAACGATGTAAGAGGATTTGCATTGTAGAACTACAATGCAGTTTTTTGTTTGTATTTTATTTGCAGTCACAGAAATTATTGAACACAGCCACATGCATGCTAGGCAAGAGTTTTACCACTGCCCTACTTCCCTGGCCCTTGTACAATCTTAACAGTAATTAGATACAATTTATAACTTAAATATAATGTAATACCTTTGGCATTCTCATTGTAGACTGGAGTCAGAATTTTTCCTAGTTTCAAAATTTTTCTAGTTATGAAAATTTCCAGTTATGAAGGATTAGTGTTAGATGCCGAGTTTTAAAGGAGTAGTTTAGTGTTGTTACTGAAATGAAACTACAAAGAGAAATATAGCCTGTGAAAATAAAAAGTATCTGATTTAATTTTACCAACAGTGCATTTATCCTAAATTTATTTGAAGTAAAATGCATGATCATTAGTTAATGTGAGCAAACAAACACGAATTAGCTCGCCCCTCCCTTCTTTCCTTTTAATGTTTCCTCCTCCTTCCCTGTTACCTTACTCCTTCCCTCTTGACTTCTGTCCTAGGGATCGAATCCAGGGCCTCATATGTGCTAGGTGATCTTTCTACCACTGAGCTATACTGCTAGTCCCACTAGCTAATAGGTGAGTCTAGGTAGAATTACTCATTTTGAGAGAAATTATATATTTTTAAATTTGATAGCTTTGTAATCCAGAAGCAACAAATACATTATACAGCAGAAACTAGAGTATATATATAGACCTCTTTTTTTTGTTGGGATCATTATTTAATTCTGATACACTAAGCTAGCTCACTTTAGATTCTTTTAACAAGTTTAAAAATTATTTGTTAATTGAAATTTGTAAAGTTTATGTTTTTCACATTTGTCTATAGTTGAATGATGTGATTCATTATATTAGGAAACATTTATTTATTTTCCTTTTAAGACACGATCTTACTATGCAGTTGAAACTGGTCTTGAACTAGTAACCCTGGTTGGCTTCGAACTCACAGTAATCCTCCTGCTTCAAACTTAGAGTGCTGGGATTATAGGCATGTGCCACCATGCCTGGCACACTCTTAAGAAATCAAAAACTATTCTTTTTAAATTTTAAAAATTTATTTATTTTATGGTACTGGAGATTGAACCCGAGGCCTTCACACTACATCTTTGACCCTTTTCTCTTGCTAAGTTGCCCTGTCTGGGGTGAAATTGTGGTGATCCTCCTTTAGCCTCCTGGAATTGCATGCGTATGCCACCATGCCTATCTTACTGTTATTTTTTTTTTTTAAAATTAGGTTTTAGAAGAATGTTCAGTGTTTGGGGAAATGTTGACATTCTATGTGAAAAGCAGGTTATACTACAAGTTGTAAAAGGTATTTCAAGCCTAAATTTAGTTAGATATGTGTGCATAGGTAAAGGATAGGAAACAAAATAGATGATTTGCATATTTGCATTTTTTCCCTCTAATATTGGGATTGAATCATCTAGCCTCTCTTACGTCCTAGACATGCACTTTTGTATGCTTTTAGTTATTTAACTTAGTTCTTTAATTTTCTAAAATTTAAGTTTTTTTTTTTTTCCCTCCTTCCCCCACCAATTTAAGTTTTTTTTAATTAATAACTGAAAACAATTGCCCACTCTGAACACTGGAATGAGAATTTGATACTATAGTATTGTAACAGTTCATACAAATGCCTGCTTGTAATCTGTTTGTGTACATTGAGGTCTCTGTAGGAAATCACTGGGTAGATGAAAACCACCTGGTATCTAGAAAGTGTATTACTCCAGGAGTTGAATTATATAAAATGTCTAGTTGCCAATGAACCCCATAACATTTGATGTTAAAACATATGCTTGAAGTTTGTTTTGGAGTTGTAGTAGTTTATTATTTTATATATTACTTCTTATATATTTTCTCACTTAAAATAATACTCTTTTATTTTTAGGCATTATCCAATTGGTTTGTTATTTGATCTGCTTGCATCAAGTTCAGCTCTTCCATGGAACATCATAGTACATTTTAAGGTATAGTTTAAGTACCACTTGGGGTTTATCCTATATGTGATACATAATAGAGTAAGGTTTTTTTTTTAAAGAGTGAAACTATTTATTACAGTTCCCATGACACTCTCTTAGTTGCTAAGTTCATTAGCACTTAACTATAAAATAGTTTTTGGTTTCTTCCTAACTTTGGGCTGAACCATTTGAACTTTGAATTAGTTTGGATGGTATGAAGATAAAACTACTTTAGATACATTAGGAGGGTTTTGATTTTAGAGCTGAATATACAAAATTGAAAATTGATAATTGTTTTGTTTTGTTTGAAGTAGGGTCTTGCCATGCAGTTTAGTCAGACCTTGAACTCACTTTGTAGCCCATGCTGGCCTCAAATTCATGGTGATTCTCCTGCCTTAGCCTCCTGATTACTGGGGTTACAGGTGTGTGCAACCACAGTTGGCTGATAATTGTTTTGACAATTTATGTGAATTTTAAAAGTTTAATTAGAACAATTCTTGGGTATCGATATAGGCATGGCAGTAGAAAGGGAGACATACTATTAAGTAACGCTAGGGCTTGAACCTAGTGATGCTATACCACTGAATTACATCCTCAACTCTATTTACATTTTATTTTCAGACAGGATTTTGCTCAACTGCCCAGACTATCCCAAACTTGCTATTCTCCTGTTTCAGCCTGCTGAGGTGACTGAGATTACAGGCGTGTGCCCCCCCCCCGCCTACCTTGCTTAGTTATTATAATCTTGACTCTATGATCTGCATCTTTGTAGTATGTTACATGATGAAATATGAAGTACATGAAATACACTTGTATTGTGTGCCAGATATGGTTGTCTTGAAGAAAAAATTACTGCCATATTTTTTTTCCATGGCACACCATTATTTTACAGAAAGAATGACAGCGAGACAAACTGTGGTTGTTCAGACTTCAGTGTTTGTCAGACATTTTTTTAAAGATACATTTATTTAAAGTCAAGCTCATGCATTTAGCAATCAATAGCCTGGTTGCAAAGATCACCATTAAAACCCTTGTTGGACTGTTTTACACTTTCACAGAACAGAAACTAAACCAATATGTTATACAATTATTCACAAATATAGTTTTCTTGTTTTTTTTTTTTTTTTGCATAAATACACATGAGTACTGTGTAAACCATGTCTTCTTGGTGGCACTTAGGCCCTGCTACCACTATGTGTGACTGACTTCACAAATGTCCTATCATCTCAGTTGTTTCTCTGGCTCTGCTTTCCTGCTAAGCTTTGTTTCCTGGCATTAATTGTAGTCTTCCACTGCCATAGCTACTGCTGCCACTAGAACTGCCATGGCCACCTTGATTCTGTGGTTTAGTGTATTAATAACCTCCACCCTCATAGAAGCCTGAACCTCTGTCTTCAAAGTTTCATTCCTTCATGAATCCAAAATTTGAAGATTGTTGTTGTCAAAATCACATTTAGATTCTGACACCTCCTAAATTGTTTTGATTGTTACCAAATCCGTTATAGCCATCTCCCCTGTCACCATATCCACTTCCACCATAGCATCCAGCAAAGCCACCTTGATCACCGAAGTTTCTCCATGGCTAAAATTATTGTGGCCTCCAAAACCACCTCCATGACTACCAACACACTCTCTAGAACCTCTTTGTTAAGTGACGCACTAGCCATCTCTTGCTTCAACAGAATGAGCTTTCCTTGCTTCACTGTTTCTGCCATTCACAATGTGGCATTTCTCAATGATACTTTTGTCCATACAGTCATAAAAGTTTGCAAAACCTAGCTCTTTCCACTGCCTCCGTCTGTCATGATTTTAATCACTTCATTTTTCCAATACAGTTCTCATATGTTCTTTAGTGCCTCCTTTAATGCCATCAACAAAGATCTTTTTCACAGTTAAGTAAACAGCTGGTTTTTGAGAATCTTCTCTTAACTGTCTCTTTTTTCTCAGTAATTCATATGTATGGCCTTGCAGTCATTGCTGCATCCACCACCTCCACAAAGGTATGCACCTATCACTGGAATGTGATGTCTTCAGCTATTTTGGAAGATAGAAAGGGAATGGTTAGTCAAATGGAATTTCTATTTATTTGTAATCTTTTGAGGAATTATTATACTGATATCCGTAGTGACTGTGCTAGTTTACATTCCTATTGACAGTGTAGAAGGATTCTTTTTTTTCCTGAAGCCTTGCCAGCATTTGTTGTTATTTGATGTTGATGATAGCCATTTTTTTCTGGAGTAAAATGGAATTTCAGTGTTTTAATTTCCATTTCTTGAATGAACAGTGATGTTGAACATTTTTTTTTGTGTGGATTTGTATTTGCAGTTTTTACTTCTTCTTGTGAAAAGTGTCTTAGATTCCCATTTATGGACTGGGTCTTTAAATGGTTGAGGGTTGCTTTATTTGAGTACTTTATATTTGTCCTTTGAGGAATAGCTGGCAAATTTTTTTTCCCCTCAAATTGCAGATTGCCTCATCCTATAAATGGTTTCTTTCACTACATAAAAGCTTTTTAATAAGGTGATATCTCAGTTGTTGATTCCTTGTAATATTTATTTCCTGTGCAACTGGGGTTTTGTTCATAAAGTCTTGGCCTATATCTGTGTGTTCAAGTTTTACCTATTCTTACTTCCAGCAAATGAAGTATTTTTGTTTTAATATTTAGATTTTTGATCCATTTTGATTTTAGTTTAGTGTGTGGTAAAAAATATGGGTCTTAGTTTAATCTTTGGCTTGTGGAAAGCCAGTTTTCCCAGCACCACTTACTATTTTTCCCCCAGTGAAGGTATTTTTGTCCTTTGTCAAAGGTAAGATAGCTGAGTGTGTTTGAAGTTGTTTCTGCATCTTCTAATCTGTTCCATTGATCCTTGGGTCTGTTTTCTTGTGAGTACTGTGCTGTTTTTAATCACAATAGCTTTGTAGTATAATTTCATGTGGGGATTTTAATGCCTTGCCTTTTGTTGCCCAAAATTACTTTTGTTATTCTAGTTCTCTTCTGGTTCCTAATGATTTTTAGGATTATTTTCTCTAATTCTGTGAGGTATGGTATTGGTATTCTGATTGAAATTATAGTAAATCAGTATAAGAGTTTTGGAAATACAGCTATTTTCACTATATTGGTTGTTTCCACCCAAGAACAAGGAATATCTGTCCGTTTTCTGATACCCTCTTTAGTCTTGGAGCACTGTAGTTTTCAGTGTGAAGGTCTTTTTCTTCTTTCATGAGATTGATTCCTAAGTATTTCGTTTTTCTTGGTGCTATTGTGAAATGCATTGTTTCTATAGTTTCTCTCTCAGTGAGTGTGTTATTTGTGAAGAGGAATGCTATCACTTTTAAGTGTTGCCTTTGTATCCAGCTGTGCCACTGAATTTGGTGATCAAATCTAGGAGTCTTGTGGTGGAGTTTTCTTTCTCTTGTCTAATTACTCTGGCTAATGTTCTTAGAAGTTTATTAAGTAAGAATAGTGATGGTAAATATCCTTGCCTTGTTTCTGATATTGGAGTGAAAGCTTTCAGTTTTTGACCATTTATTTAATGTAATGTTAGCTGTTGGTTTTATTAGATTGAGCTAAGGACCTTCTGTTCCAATTTTCTGTGGAGTTTTTATTATGAATGAGTGTTGGACTTTGTCAGATGCTTTTTCTGCATCTATTGAAATGATCTTTGGTTTTTGTCCTTGGTTCTGTTAATGTGGTGTATTACATTGCTTTTCATGTAGTGAACCATTCCTGTATCTGTGAGATGAATTGGTCATGGTGTGTAGTCTTGATGATTTGCTGCATTGTTTGCCGGGATATCATTGAGGGTTTTGTGTCTGTTTTCATTAGATTGGCCTGCAGTTTCTTTTTTGGTTGACTCCTTCTCTAGTTTAGGTATCAGGGTGATTCTTGCTTCCTGGAATGAGCTTGGGAGTATTACTTTTCTTTCAGCTTCGTTAAAAGTTTGAGAAGTGGCAGAATTAGATCTTCTCTAATTTTCTCATAAAACTTGGCAATGAACCCTTCAAGGCCTGTCCTTTTCTTTCTTGATAAGTTGTTAATTCCACTGACTGATACTGGTTTATTTAGAATTTTTTATCTTCTTGACTCTGCCTTGTTGATTCATATATATCTGGGAATCTTCTTTGCTTGTGCATTTTCCATCTTATTAGAATACAGGTTTTCAAAGTAGCTTTTAATGGTGTTCTGGATTTCTGCAGTATCTGCTAGGATTTCAACCTTTTCATTCTTTTTTTTTTTCCCTTGGTCTTTTTCATTTTTATCAGCACCAGGGATCGAACTCAAGACTGCCTGCTTGCAAGGCAGGCGCTTATGCCGCTGAGCTAAATCCCCAGCCCCTGACCTTTTCATTCTTAATTTCATGGGTTTGTTTCTGTCTTTCCTTTTTTTGATAATATTTCAAAGAGCCAACTCTGATTGATTTTTTTTTGTGTGTTGTATTAGCCTCAATTATATTAATTTCTTCTCTGATTTTTGAGCTTGCCTTGCTGTTCTTTTTCTGGAAGCTTGAGGTTCAACGTTAAGTTGTTGATTTGAGCTCTATTTTTATGATATGGAAACTTACCACTATAAATTTCCATCATAGGACTGTCAGTGGGCTTTGTTTTATAGGTGATTGGTTTCTTTTTATGTTCTGCTTTTAATATTCTGTTATGTTGAATTTCTGGAATCTTGACTCTTACAAACTTTGGTTTAGATTTTTTAATCTGTATGCCTCATTTGTTTGTATGTCAGATTCTTTTCCATGCTTGGGATACTTTCTGCTGTGACTTCTGTGAAAGGGTTTTTTATGACATTTGCGTGCTCTTGTTTTTTCATTGACTGATCAAACTTGTTATTCTACTTTGCATCATCATCTAGCATTTGTTGGATTTATTTTTCATGTTTTCTTTGTGATTTTTAAGGAATCTCATGATCGCTAACTGCAATCCTGTCTTCTGGATCTGATATTTTGTCCTCAGATTGGCTCATTTGATATGTATATGTTCAGTGGAATTTTTAATCTTCTGGG